GGCATAGGCCTTAGATACCCCTCTTTTCTTTTTAATATTTTCTTTATCAGTTTATATCCTCTCCCAACCCAGGTTCTTGTTTGTAAGCTAATTTAACGATTAGTGAACAAACTTGTAACAATATATTCAAATTTTGTTGTTATATAACTTTTGTTCTTCTTGAACATGAATTATATAACTTAAAATAAAAATAAAATATTATATTCTATGATTTTTCTATATTAATATAAATCAAACTCACTCTTTATTATTTTGTATAGTCTTCTTGGACTTTTAAATTCATTCTGGTATAGAACAAATTAAATTGAAACAATAATTCACATTAATTTCTTTCTATATCTGTTATATTTTTCTACAGATTCTTTTTATCTGAAATTTATCCAGGAAATACAATCAGATTTAGATCTGGAGGTTGTGGTGATCAATTCAGAATAGATACATTATTGTCAACAAATTTTTGTTTTATTTGAATTTAACATGTTTAGAATTATTGTTCTATTAGAAAATTATATTATTGATAGCATATTCTTGTTTCTCAATAATATTTAAATAAATCTTCTGTAAGAATTTGTTGATATAATGCAACATTCATTATCTCATTAATTTTATAAAAATTGCCAAGACTGTAAGAACTGAAACAATTCACCATTATTTCTCCATCACTGAATTTGATTGTAGACTTAATATGTGAGCTATTTAATAATTTACCTGATCTTTTTCAATAGTATTCATGTCTATTTGATCCAAAATCTTGAATTTTGACTCGTTGAACCATATTACCTTTAACCATATTACCTTTGACCATATGTTTTCGCAAATTCAAGGTAACATTGCATGCATGTATATTGACTTCAAGTATGTCTTTTTTCTTTTGATTCTTGCTGTCAAACCATTATCTCAGAGTGTATGACAAATAATATACTCTGAGATTTCAATATTTTCAGCTTCACATATATGATTTTGGACTTGGACAGTGGTGGAACAATTACGAGATGTAATAAGACGAATTACCAGTCTTTCTTGTCACCCGTTTAATATATGTGGGCAACCAGTTTCATTTGCATTTGGAGAGTATTTTTTTTATATACGGGAAACTGTAGATGGGCTAATATTTCACGCTCTGGCTATCTCTGGGGGGCAGTATAGGATTTTTGCGACTTTGTTTGCTTATTAAATAATTGCATTATACAAGAGCAAAAAGATAAAAAAATTTTGATTATCTCATGATTTTATGCGGCAGCAATCATCATCTGATTGCTTGCCCAAAAAGATCAAAAGAAATGCAACACGCATTTCGTACAAGTCGTGTGATCTTGAAATTGAAATTACGTACGTAGTACGTATTGAATAAATCGATTTTAAAAAATAATATATATATTATTAACTTTATTTAAATTTTATTATGAATTTTTTAAAAATATGCGATTTTAAAAAATTTTAATTTTTGTTGCATTACTTTTGATCGCCACTGTAAACCAAAAAACGGTCCGCCATTATTTTCCGCGCGGACTGTATTAATCCACCCTCGTATTATCAACAAAATAGCCTGGTCCCATTATGTTGATAACGACGAGGGACGACTTTACCATCATATAGTTGAATTAATGAGAAAAGAATAATGAATTACTTCATGTATCCTTGAAGAAATTTTATTCGGATACGATGAAATTTGATAGATTACGTCTTTCTTTACAATCTATTTTCTAGGATTTAAATACAGTAATGGGAATTTTCGATAAACATACGTATTTGTCTTAGCGATAGCGATAGAGATATCATGATATACGTATGCAGTAATATAATGATGCATGATAAGGCAATATGTAGATTTAAAATACATGTACTGGTAAAATATTGTGTGACAATTACGCTCCTTTGTTTTTATCGTTATGTACTGAATTCTCGGTTCTCGTGAATATGATTCTCCGAACAACAAAAGTATTTGAATGCAGAAAATGCATTATAAACTTCTTTCTTTTATTTCCTAGCAAGTACATGTACACCGATATAAATATTTGCATTTTAAATTTTTGGGGGTTGCATTAACAAATATCACGCATTTTATTTCAATTATACATGTACATGTCATGTATATGGAAGAAGACTTTTGCCGAGAATGTGCGACAAAGAAACCTGTTATGCAACATTTTAGACCTTATAATGAAACCTGTTTATGCACAATAACGATAATTTAAATAAAGTCATTTTCCTTCCCATTTCTTAGATGGCAACAAGAATGTTAACAGATCTATACACAAGATTTTTCTGCGCCGATATAATTGAAGAAATCGTAACGAAACTCGAATACGACCAATCTACTCTGCATTCATGTATTTTAGTGAATCGCACTTGGTGTCAAGTGACAATTCCTGTGCTATGGCGAGACCCATTCAGTTTTGTCAGTACTATACCGAATAATGAATTAGAAAATAAGAAATTAAAGTCTTTATTTGTCGTTTGCTTGCAGTATTTGAAGGAAGACGAAGAGAAATCGAAAATATGTGGACTACAAGAGTTTGAAACGTCAAACCAAAATGAAAATGTTCCAATTGTAAAATATAAACCCTCATTTAGCTACCTCGCTTACATTACACATCTCGACGATTCTGTAATATTTCGAAGTATATTTCGTATTATGCGTCAAATAAAACAAACTGAATTAATCGAAGCAAAGAATGCATTCGTTTCCATTATCTCGATGCTCTTTAACCACTCCAGAAATATATATTTTCTTAATATCTCCTCATCGGCTTATTTCGTCAACAGCTTAACTGAGGAAATATTCGCTGGATTCTCGTCACTTTTTCTTTTGATATCCACTCGACATACAAAGATTGAGCAATTACAAATACGCATCGATTCCGACAACTTGTATTCCGAAGTATTATTAGAGAATGTCTTGTCTATAATCGAGGCACAGAAAGAATTACGAGATTTTACATTTATAGTCGAAGATTTTGAGTGGAAAGAATTAATCGGGATGGAATTTATGAAGCTTTTATTGATAACGCTAGGAGAGAAGACTGATAATGAATCAGGGGGAAAATTAGAGAGAGTAGAATTTATAGGATGTGATTTTGATGGTTGTACTTGGGACGATGGCGAAACGTTATTTGATGGTGTAAGTGGGGTGGTTTTTGATGCGTGCATTAATTTGGATGAAGAAATTTTAACTAGGCTTGAGATTAAGGATGAAGAAAACGACAATTGGGAAATGAGCTTTGTATAGGGAAACGAGTTTTGTATAGCTAGTTTATTTATAAAGAATATTTATCATGTAACGGTGAAGCAGTGCAGTTGGCTATTGCTTACCGACAATCCTCGGCTAAAAATCTGATAGATTTTTCGATTTTAGAAATTATCGTTATCAATTTTAAATAAAATCATGTTTGTTTCCAAATATCATGTCTTAATCTAAGTTGAAACAGGAATGAAGAAGTTGGTCCAATCACTATTAAAAAAAACCAACAATATACTTTTCCAAAACAACAATTAACATATAAACTGATATTATACGAAATAAAAATGGATAAACCAGTGTTGGCATTTGGCCGCGGCCAATATTTGGCTATAGCCAAACGGTCATGACAAAATTCGGCCAAATGGCTAAGGGGAGTGACAGATAATAACTAATATCCATTTTGTTAGGGACCCCTCCCCCTCTCCCCTCCTGAGATTTCATTTAACACATTATATTAATACCTGTGATTTGGCCTCCCCTCAGAATATTAGCTAATATCTGTCACTCCGCCACTCCCCTAAGTGACACTGGATAAAGTATCCTAGGGCTGTTAAAAGTCTGATCGGCTCCAGAAGCCGAGTTTTTATTGAGGTTCGGTCCGAAAGACAGACTCATGCACACACGATATTATTCACGTGCACTTGTAATAGTTATTGCAATACAAATTTATTTAACTATGTAAAATATTACATGTATTTGCATAGTGATAATGCTGATTTATCTAACTTATGCTAAGTTTTCATCTATTATAGAATATTGGCATCCAACCAACTCTTCAAGCATATCGAGGCTCTTTTTTGTCGCAGAGAAGGCACGTTCGCAAGGAACACTCGTGGTTTGCAATGCAAAGTAATCTGGAGCCATTAAAGCTATGATTGGAAAGCGAAGAGCATTAGCTTTCTACCACAACAGTGGATCAGTATTCAGCTCTGGAGGTTCAAGCACGAAAAAGAGCAGGTTTACGTTTATTTTTTAATTGGTTTTTATTGTAGATTATATTACTAATGATTACATTATTTTGAGACTCTTTTCCAAGATTATTGTCACTTTCGACAGA